GCTCGCTGTGGGCTTGGGGGCCGGAGCCCCAAAGTTGGCCTGGCGGGAGGGAGGGCATGAGGAGATGGCATCTCCGGCGTCCCCTAGGATCCTCGTCCCGGTTTGCCAGGGAGACTTGGCGTCCAGCGGCTGGAGCGGCGTTGCCGGACGTGGGCAGGCAGAGAGACCCCCCTTCCTTCCTCCGGGGGTGGCCGGTCCCCGCGGCCCGGCGGCCACGGCGCGGCCACCCGGTTCGTTACCACCCGCGACAGCTGAGGCAGCGTCTGCCGTGCGGAGACAGCCCCGCGGCGCTGCCGTGCAGCGTTGGACCTGTCATGGCCGGGGTTTCCCTCGCAAAAATAAACTTTACCTCGGGGTTTAGGTTTTTTTTCCTCTCAGATGCCAGCGACGCGCAGTCTTGGATGTAGCGAGCTTTCTACGGCGCGTTGCTCTCGTGACTCGGGCAGAACCCTTTTCTTAAAAAAGTTGAGATTAGAGGGAGACAGAATCGGTATCTTTTTTCAGGCTTTCTAATACGTCTTTACAACTACCATTATTATCTTCTTAAACTGGAAGTCAGCTTCAAAGTTGAATACTTTTTTCTTTGTAATTTTTACTTTGGAGGATTGACAGCGTTTTGAATACGGCCGACAGCCACCTGACAGTGTCAGGGCTCATCCAGGCCTCTGTATGTCCATGTCTGCCCCAGTGATCTGCTGTGCAGAGCTTGCTGCTCTCGTAGTCTCCATACCTGAAACCTCGAGGGTTTCTGCTAAATCTTTCAATGGGATTTCTTTATTGGCTACTCTCTGCTCCTCAGTTGTAGCCACCCACAGCTCTGCAAAGTACTCATTGTGGTGTCTGTGCATGGAGCAGTGTTGTGATGATACGTATCCGAGTAGCTGTTTTCATGTGATCAAATTGCTCTGGTGTGACCTGTCCCAGCCCTGCTAAGGAAGTTATAGGAGTTACAGATACCTGGAGGGTATATAGGGTATAAGTGTGAAATGGGAGTCCTTTTTACTTCTGTTTCTTCCTGCCTTTTACCCAAGTTCTAGTGGAAGATCATGGTAAAAATGGAGAGTGTGTTTAAAAGAGATGAGATGGTTTTACTGCTTGAAGTTGAAATGTGAGTCTTTGTAATGTGGCTAATATCTCATGATAGAGATCTGTGGTGGGGTTTTTTTTTCCCCTTGTAATAATGCAGCCATGCAATGAAATTGTTTTGATTTGATGCATTTAAAATGAATTAATTGAAACTAGATTTGTTGTGGAGGGTTGTATATAGTAACTATCTGCTGGTAACTAAGCAGTAGATACTTGAGCTTAGTGCTGTGTGTAAATTTTATTTTAAGTCACAGCTTGTTACGTTTGATAAAATGACAGTTAATTCCTGTTTGGAATTATCAAAATAACTAAAGATTTAGAAAGAGGCCTCTTGACTGAAGTCAGAGGCAAAAAATCATAGAGAGGAATGAGTGCTGGCTGCAAACACCTGGATATCCTATGGTATTATGAGAAAGCAACTGATCAATATGCAGGGTTTCCCCAAAAGTGTGACCTTCTGATACACCAGTTGCCACATGTATTGTAAATTACTATTGCTTTGGGATTTTTTAATTTTTTTTCACTCTAATCATGTTCTTAAATCTTACAGGTCTTAATTCTTTTGTTTTTGCTAACATTTATGCTATATTCTGGAAGTATCATGCTTCCAAACACATGTAGCATCCAGATGAAATGCAATCTGGAAAGCAGAATTCTTCTGAAAACCAAAGGCCCACTTAAATCAAAAGCAGTTTTCAATGTCTGATGTCATGGTCATAAAGCTTTGTATGAGTCTTTTTGCTGCCTCCTTAATGTGTCTTATAAAATTGCAGTTCTTCTTCTTTCTGCTTTATGTGTGTTGTCTTGGAGATTCATGGATTTTGATCAGATTTCAGACAAGAGCTACTGGATGGTATGTAGAGCCTGACATCTCTTGAATAGGTATCAAGTTTATCGATCTCAATGTGAGTTCCAAACTGGAGTATGTTCCTTTGGTTTCTGGTCAGGGAAGTAAACTTCAAATTACTTGACTAGGATAGTGTTGTGTTTTAAATATAGGAAACTTTTTACTCTACTGAGACTGTAACTGAGATGTAATAAACTCTTTTTCAATTAAAGTTATGTAACATCCCAAACATTTATTTGACGTGGGGTGTCTTTCTGGGCTCTTGATTGGAAAAGAACTTTAGCTGAGTAGCAGTGTATGTAAGGTGTGATTTCTGCCCCTCCCGTCTACCTTGGGATTGATTGCTGCTTTAGGGATTCATGTTATGTATACAGTGATGCTGCATTGAGTTATTTATTTTTAAGAAAGTGATTATTTTAGAAGTAAATAACTAAGATTTTTCTGCTGGCAATATGCTCAGTTATGATTTAAAAGTTATACTGTTGTGCTCTTATGCTAGAATTCATAGTTACAACTATTAGTTTCCTAAATTAAATTTACTTCTTCTGTAAGCAGGTGGTTATACAATAGGAATATTCTGTACTGTGCATGCAGAATTAATTAGTTCAACATGAATACAAGTTATGTTATTTAAAATGTCAGCACTGAATTATTTAAAATAAATATGTTTGTGCTAAAAAGTATTTTGTTAACTGTCTTAAAAGAGTAAGATCTGTACTTACAGACTTGCTGACATGTAGTTCTAGCTCTGCTGCGTATTTGGGAGATGTCACTGATTATATGGGGTGGGAGGGAGCAGAGGTAGATGCTTTTCCAAGTCATTTAAAGCTAGGCAGCAGAATTTACAATGAGAGGACTGGAGATTGAAATGGTTTTTAAATAAAGTCAACATTTCCCCTTCCTTAGCAACAATTTTGTACACTAGATGTATTTTTTACTGGAGTGAATGTAAGTAAGAGATAACATATATAAGGAAAGTAGCAATTTAAGTATGACTTCTTAGAGGATAGGAGGTAGGAGACCAGCACTTTCAATTTTTAAAGGCCAGATATCATGTTGCCTTTTATTTTTAAAACAGTAATAGAATTTTGTGATCTAAGTAATATAACAAATTTACTTCATTCTTTCTCAGAACAACCAAAAAAGTTAATCTGATTTTGCCGTTGTGGGGGGTTTGGTTAGTTAACGCAGCTTTCATAGCATGCCATATCATGTTTGATGTCTTTCTGAATAAGTGAAACTTTGACTTCTGTCTTCTTCAACACGCAGGTAAAAAGCCTTGCTGAATTTTTTCCCTAGATTTATTGTAAATTTGGCCTGATACCAGAAGCTATATCTGTGTGCAGTCTGTCAGCAATCAGCAGGAGACCAAAATAGGAATATATCTTAGCATTTTAAAATAATTCATTCTGAAAACAGATTTGGAGAGTTTGCTTTGTATCCCTAACAATGTATTTTACAGAAACTGAAATTCTGTACATCACCGTAGTAAAAGTTATGCCATATTAAAACACAAATTACAAGTTTGCCGTAGAATTTTGGGTCCTGCAGACTTGCTCGAGAGTTGCTGCTCTAGTTTGGAGTGATTTTTAGGGTTTTGGATTTTTTGTTTTGTTTTCTGATCTACTTCAGGTAAAAGAAAACAATCTGCATAAACTCTTTTCCCACCAAGCCTTTCCATGAGTTTCTTGTCAAATGCACCAGTTATGTTGTTAAAGCAACAAAACTTTGGTATCTACTGGTACTGGGAAGGCAGACCCAGTACGTTCGAGGAAGAAAAATGGTTTGGTAGCTCAAACTGCAGGGTCACATCCTCTGCAGAGAATGTTGAGGTGGTTATGCTCTTTGTGTGTTTGATGTGAGGATTTCTTAATGCACAGACTTGCCAACTGGGTCTTGGATTGATAGTTCAGGACAGGATCCAAAGAATCCCTGCTGGTGGGTGTTAAGTGTGTTCTCAGTAAACCTGATAAACGAGTGTACTTCTGCAGTGCAATGTTTGTTTTTAATTGCCATAGAACAAAAAGATCTTCTTAACTTCTAATTATACTTTCGGTTAATGCTGTTATTACTGAAGCTGTAGGAATTTTATGTGGGTTTTTATCCAACATACTAAAATACGAAAAGGAAGGCTGTGAGGCATTATGGCACATTCTTCTGATCCTTTCTCCAAACGTTAGTGTGTTAGATTGAATTCACCAAGGAGTGATGTGTAAGAAAAATTACTTCCATGTACAACTACTTAATGCTAAGCTGGATCTAATCAGTTTATATGGTTAGTGCTGCAGATGGCCGTGTGCTCTAGGCTGCCAGCCTGCATCTGGAAAGTGAGAAGGGATGTGAGTAAGAACAGAGTAATAACTTGTGAGCACTTCACAACTGAAGTCCACGTCCTCCTTCTGCTTGACTGCTTTTTTTCAAAACTGCCTTCTGCTCTAGGTACCTCGTAGTGTATGTGTGAATGCATATGTGTATCGTGGGCTCTGTGACTTATTTTGTGTGTGTGATTAGTTTGGTTTTTTTTTCTTTTTTTGTTTTCTTTTTTTTAGGAGTTAAATTTGGTTCATTATTACTTCTTGTAGTTGAGAAAGTAACCTTCTTTTCTTAGATTTTCATAGAGTACTCCAAAGTTAGAGATGTGTGAGTGATGGTTTTAGGAGTGGAGAACCAGAGGGGAAAAAAGGGCATTATGTTGGACAATTGATCACACCTTCCTGTTTCTCAATTAAGGTTTTCAAATTTAGTGTGTTAAAACTGTGCTGTCTGTCACATGACACATTCCCTCACATAGTAATGTGGTAAGCATCACTGTGATTCATATGTAAAGATCCTTTTCCAAAATATTTATAGTAGAAAGCCACATGATGAACTGATGTTTATGAACATTATATCAACGTACTAAAAAAAGTATTAATCTGAAAGTATTGGTGTGCTTCTTGAACTGTTTTTAGGTGCCACAGGCCTTCTAAATACACATGTATATATACACACACAATGCATTCATTTTTCATATAGCAAATTGCTATTACGTAAGAGTTATTACTGACTTTTAGGATTGCTGCAAATGTGTTATTTAAATGTGCTGTTTTTCTGAATAACTAAGGAAGATGTTTACAAAACCTTTTAGCTTGTTTGGTGGTTTGTTTTTCTTTTAAAAATTTTATTTTCAATTTACTCTGCTAGTTGTGTTTCCATGCCTAAATAGTTTTGCATTTGAGGGCTGGCTCAGCTTTAGCCGTATTTGAAAACGTGGGAGTCATAAAGATCTTGTCAGCAAAGAGTGAGGTTTCATGGAATAAAAAAAAGCCTGGAGTAGTGGCCAAGCTTTTCTGCCTCTTCTACAGGATTCTTCTCACTTTAAATGGCTACTGCTTTTTGAGCTTGTTGGCACATCCCAGAGTGTAGTTGGATATGCATTCTCA